CATAATAGTATTCTTTTTATTTCTATCAAATTTGTAGTCAAAAGATAAAGTCAATTTCACAATATTACATGTCCTTTATTCCTTTTCTTTACTAAGTGTTAATCATGATAAGAGTTGTACGACATTGACAATTCCGAAAAAGTACTTTTGTAGAGGATCTTAACTAAGATAAAGATGATAAAACATAAACGATTTATTACATAAAAGATTTATTAACTAGTGCTAAATTTTAAAAACTAAGAAACATTGACAACGATATGATACAGACTTTGCTCACTGGATTTAACGGCTGTATAAAAAATATTTATAGATCATAGCTATTAAAAATTATAAAATTTTAGAGAATTCTTGACATTGAAGTTAGCATCTGGCAATGTGGCATCTTTCGAACACATAAACTTTGATTGAACAGAACCAAAATAATAAATTGTGTTTTTAACCAAATAAGCTTAATCAAAATCCTCGGCTAAAAGGGCCGCCGGCGACAAAAGACGAAACTCTTCCGATCTTGCTTGCCATTTCATTTTTCTTTTTATTGACTCTCGCCGACATTACCTCTATCTCTTCTTAGATTTTATCAGTCTGGTTTTTAACATCTCTCGTAAAAAGGTCTCCGAGTTTTTTTAGCGTGTCTCCTACCATGTTTGTTGTATTACCTACGATTCCCATAGCACCGTCTATTATTTTATTTACGTTGCCCATGATACCTCCAATACCGTCTGTTAGAATGCCTGCCGTTTTAGGCATAAACTTCTTTTTGATATTCTTAAGTGCTTCGTTACCTTTCTTGACGCCATCTGTTAATTTCTCGGCACCGCCTTTCAACATTTCACCCAATTTATCCGTTCCTTTCCCTATTTTGTCTTTTAACTCATCAGTTATTTTTTCTGCTTTTCCTTCTAATTTCTCGGCACCACTTTTCAACGCGTCCTTCAATTTATCAACTCCTTCCTCCATCTTTGTCTTCAATTCACCGGCTTCTTTCTTTACTTTTTCGAAACCTTTCTGTAATTTTGGGATCAATTCATTGACTTGTTTTTCCAAGTTCTTCGTCAGTTTCTCCATATTATCTTCCAAATGCTTCTTTAATTCTTTGGCTTTTTCCTCTATCTCTTTCTTCGACTTACCGGCTTTTTCCTTGATTTTTTTAGCTTTTTCCTCCATTTTTTTTTTCAATTCAACACCTCCTTTTTTTATTTTTTCAACACCATCTTTCAGTAATTCTTTAACGTCTTCCTGATGTTTATTGACTATTTCCTCTAACTTTTTCTTAAATTCACCGGCTTTTTCCTTGTACAATTCTATCAGTTTAGGAACTTCGGTATTGAACTTTTCCTTGATTTTCTTTATCTCTTCCTGTACCTTTACAAGTTGTTCCTTTGCTATTTTTTTCAAGTTATCGACTTGGTTCTCGATCTTTTTCTTCACTTCAACGGCTTCGTCGTCCAACTTTTTCTTTAATTCACCTGCTTTTTCCTTTATTTTTTCGAATTCTTCCTCTAACATTTTCCTCACGTTATCGGCTTCTTTCTCAAGCTTTTCCTTCCATTCGCCGAATTCTTTCTTTACTTTTCCGAGGTTTTCCTTGAATCCTTCCTCAAACTTTTTCTTCAATTCACCGGCTTTGCTCTGCAATTTTCCGACTAGATCGTTCAAGTCGTCCTTCCATTTAGCAGCGTCTTTCTTAATGTTTTCAATAACACCTGTCACCGTCTCTTTTACTTTGCCAGCCACTTCGTTCGCTCCCTTTTGCACCTTGTCTTTAAGTACTTTGCTGTTCTCTTCGGCATTTTTCCTCAGGTCCTTAAGCTTGTCCAAGATTTTATTCGTCCGGTCGCTTAATTCTCCCTTCAATTTTTCACCGTTCTCCGTGAATTCTTTTAGATTTTCTTTTGCATTTTCCTCAAGTTTCTTTATGCCTTCACGGGCGTTATCCTTCAACTTTTTCATATTTTTGTTGATAATGCTCGTTGTGTCTCTGCCTAAAACAGTGCCATAAGTTTGACTACCGCTAGTTTGACTATGTTCCTGTATCTTTTCGAGTATCTCTTTTATTTTTTCTTCGATCTTTGATTTGTTTTTATCTAACCACTCCTTCAATTTTTCACGCGTTTCCTCGCTACTGAACTTGTCGATAATGTTGTTAATCTTCTCAGCTCTATCATTGAGCGCATCCTGGAAATTCTGCTCGATTTGTTTCTTCCTTTCTACTAGTTTCTCAAAAATTTCGTTTGCATTTTGTGTTTGTAATTTCTCGGCATTTTCTTCAGCCTCTAGCTCGAAAGCACTTTCGTCGATATTTTTCTTTTCCTGGAGTTCTTTCAAATATTCCTTGACTTTCTTCACGATATCCTCGAATTTGCCTCCCGCTTCGCTTTTAATCTGATTAAATATTTCCTTTATCTTGCCAATGATGTCTTGCAATTCAGCTTGCGCAGCAAGCACAGTTCCCACATTTTCCACTGGCACCGGAATGGCCTGACAAGCGATTAATAAAACAACAATTATTTTTTATATTTCGAAGCATGGGACAAAATAGTAGACAAGTGTAAGTAAATGTACATTAAAAGGAAAGGAATACATTCATTGCTTATTGCTATGTGCAATGTTGCAATGTCGCAATGATACAGTATTATACAGTAAATGTATAAAGTGATTATATAATATGTTTGCGTGTACTATAGAAAAAGTAGTGTACAATGTTATAAGCTATGGCAGGCTAGCTATATATAGGTGTATAAGGAACAGGAATCTCGTAAATGTATCGTATTGTTTAAGACATGAAATGACAGAAATTGCGTGTTGCATAATACGAGAGAATGCAATTACAATCGCATGTTAAAAATAAAAATTTGTCACAATGAGTTCAACATTTCTTCGTTACTAACTTCGTAATAATATACTATATATTATAACTGTAACATTCGCAATGATTATTATAGTAATTTCCAATTACTCCATGCAACATGTTCCATGGAATAATTGGAGCAATTGATAACCGGCACGTTAAATTTTCGTTTAATCTTAATCGTTTAATCTATCTACCTATTTAATTAACACTATCTCGTAATATTCGTAATATCCTAATTATATAATATGTTTGAGTCAATCCTTATTCATTTCTCCGAACGAATTCTTGGAATGAATTTCAAAGAATTCGCAAATCGATCGCGCGATCATTCGTGTGCAACAACTTACCTGGCTCATATAACATATGGCCGCTAGCGCGGTCACTAAAAGAACAACGCGTGCCATCGCAATTTGGGCAACGTAAGCGCGATACGATCGAAAGTACGATGGGTCCAATTCCGTAGAGAAAAATCAAGTGGAGAAAAATCAAGAACTGCGATCCGCAATGACATGAATATCAGGGAATATGGGTGCTTATATATTGATTGGAAATTTGCTTATATATTGATTGAAATTTGTTTATCGTGTCTGTTGCATAGGTGTCCACGATATTGTTCACCCACGATATTAGCTCTTACTCGCCAACGCGTTATTTGACATTATTTGACATGGCACACCTGCGCTAACTTGACTGAATAGCGTCCTTATGCGTGATAATGTACATGATAAATTGCAAAATGGTTAATTATCAATTCAACGAAATCATACCAGACATAACGCCAGTTGTAACGCCTGACACAACAGTATTTCTTTGCTCGAAGAAACAACATATCTTTGCATAACAAAATATGATGAGTTGATTTGGAAATCAATGTAGCGATTTCCAAACAGAAGAGAAGAGATAGCGATTGTTGACATTTTGTCTTAAAATTTCATTTCAATTATTTTTCCCGATTTAATTAATGAACGCAAGTCAATATTATTTTCGAACGTACGTAATAACGTTTTTCTTTATTTTACGAAATTTGAAAGTCATATACCGTCTGCACCGTATTTAAGAATTGTTTACGTAAATCCATTATATATCCATTATATATTCCATTATTTTTATATTTTAAACGCCTATCATTACTCTTTTATATATCTATCCGCTTCTTGCTTTTTAGGCTGCAAAATTGAAATTTTTACGTTGAAACACATTCGTATAAAGTTCATAAATTACGATCAATTAAGGATAGAGACTAATCAGAGAGAGAGAGAGAGAGAGAGAGAGAGAGAGAGAGAGAGAGAGAGAGAGAGAGAGAGAGA